AAGATACTTATTAACGACTTGCTATTGACCCATTGTTTAATGTCCCACTCTATAACAGCCTGTTCAGTATTGGCCTGTTAATATCCCACTCGCTAATGACCTGTTCAATAACCTATTCTTTAATGTATCTCTCTTTACTGTCTATTAATGACTTACTGCTATTAAAGATACATATTAAGAGCTTGCTATCGGCCCATTCTTTAATGTCCCGTTCCTTAACAGCCTGTCAGAGAAAATTAATCTTTCCTACAGTTATCACTCATGTTTCCGCATCTCGACGTATTTATTAATTAAAAAAGAGATAATCCATCACGAATTTCAGACACCTCGATTGAAATAACCACGATCATTAATTCCCAAGGTAGAAAAAAGGGATTCATTTTTATTTAACGATGCTCACCAACAAGACAGTCGACTTTCGGAGATATCCAACCCCATCTTCGCCACCCTTCGAACCAATTAATCGATACCGTCGAGAACTTCGTCGAGAGCGATCGACGACACGGCCGTTACATTAACCCTCGACCTGGAAATCGGCCGGAGGTTCGATGAAAAAGTTTCCACCTCGCTCAGGAACCGCTCCGAGCGGACCACCCCTTCTAAAGGGGTGCGTTTTCAGGCGAATCGTGCGCCGGATGTCGCTAACCGTTCTTGAAACCGGTACGAACACGGAGTTACCGTGCTTGTGTTGGAAAATGGAACGGGACCACCCTCTGTCCAGAAACTACCGAACAAAAGTGGCCGAATACGTGCAGACTCTCTGTTTCCGCTTCCTTTGAATTGCCTCTCGATTATCGCCTGGATATCCCTGTTGTTGACTTCGCTCTTTTGCGTCCACTCGAAATTAGTTACAAGCTTGCTATTCTTTCTTTATTGCATTTTTTTTTTTATTCATTAGGAATTTGTTAGTAGAACCTATGCTTATTTCTCAGATTATGAAATGTTTTTATTCATTATTCACTTTTATTCTTATTTATTTTCATTATTCAAATTAAATTTATTTGAGCATATGTATATATTGACAATATACGAGGCATACAAATATTGTGTTCTAGAATTTGGTGAATGAAGAACTTAAACAATATGCAAATTCAAATTGTTGAACCAACAAGTCTTTAACTTAGAAATTAAGCAAGTTAGAGATTCAATAATCAGGAAAATTGTAAATGTGGAAATGAAGAGAGGTTTGAAATTTTTCAAAATTAATGTTCCAGGTATTGGCTGGATAGGGGCAACTTCAAGATGACCCTCCGCTACATGAACCTGTTAAAGGGCGCGCCAAAATCGGTGGCCAAGGATTGGATGAACGAGACGAGGATTCTTCTGGAGACCCAACAAGCCGTCGACACCTTATTGGCTTACGCAGGTGCAATAGGTTTGGTGTTCCTCGGTGCCGGAGACTCGAAGGTCAGTCGAAACAATTAGAAGAAATTTTTACCATAGACTTCGACCTCGTCTCTGACCAAAAACGAAAAGACAGACGTTATTTAGGGGGACTTTGTTTAAGTGATTCCGTGAAACTTCGTTCGACGCGCTCATACTTGCGGCCCGATAATTTATAGTACAAATTGTGAATTACACGCCTAGGATTTTAGTTATATCCCTCTTGAATGGAGTAGGTACCGTGCGAACACATGCGTGTTTCCTCCAATTTTTCAATCTGTTTTATTTTTCGAAAGTTCGAACGATGTAACCGGAACCTAATTGCAAATAAAAAGAGGAAAACAATTTTTATTTCTCGGTTCATTTACCATTGATCCTGGAATTCGATAATTTATCCTGTTTGGTTTGGGTTGAAAGGAGGCAGGGTACACTCTCGTTATATGGACACGTATGGCCTTTTATAGAGATGGTTCTTTATAAATTTCTGTGTATCGTGATTGAGGAGAAAGTATGCTCCATATTCTTAAATTTTAGCGTTTGTAAATTAGTTTGAATATGAAGTTTTTTAATTTTCAACTTTTTAGATTTCTCCTTTCTAGAAATTAAATTTGTTAATTTTCAAGTTTGTACAATTCTAAGTTCTCATTTTTCTTAATTTAAAAAGTATACTCACATAATATGCCTACATACTTAAATGCATTAATAAAAAATTTTATGTGAAGTCTCTAAGTTTCAAAATTGTTAACCGAGCGACTAAAGGCGGTCACTTATCTGTCCTCCACCGTACCAGGCGTCCATATACCCGCAGTCTACCTTGTCGCGTTCAAATTTAATTTTTCCAGCGTTAACAGCCGGCTCTCCGTTTGCTTGCAGTAAAACGAATAAACACAAAAAAAAGTCAAACGCGAAACACGGTTGTTAGCCGAGAAAAAAACGAGAAACCGACAATCGCCACCAGCCTCGTCTCAGAATCCTCTCCCTTCTGAGAATCCTCGACGAGCGGAGAAAAAGAAAGACATATTAAACAAACAATTGAAAAGATAGCCACTTTTGGGAACGTTGCATTCGTTGTTCGAAGTGTTCCAGCCCGTCTGGTCTCGCGAAAGCGAAGCGTCCGCGGCGTCGCGTGAGACTAACGCGAGCGCAGCGAAGAGCCATCGCGCGGATTCGCGCGATCGTAAGACAACGAAGACGGACGGGAACGTTCTCTTACGAGAGCATTCGACGAACAACGCGCGGAATTTTCAACTGGTGGATAGACGGGGAAGAGACGAAGAACCACGCGGACAGATTCGAGATTTATTTGCGGCTGAACGGGGGTTGCGGAGAGAACATTTTTTTGGTTTGTAACATACCGCAGGTATCGACTTAACCCTGATCACGTTATTGTATAATAATTACTGTATAATTTGTCGAGGAAGCTACTCGATATTACGGTTTATTTAAGGTGAACCCTTAGCATCTAGGGTGAGCGCTTTAGCATCTATGTTCTTAGAAATCACTGCGTGACTCTTTGATACATTATTTTTAGACTCTTCGAAAATACGGATAGAGATTTTTATTTGGATTTTTAGAATATGGTGTATACGATTTTTAGTAGTTAAATAAATTTGCTTGAAAAGTACGGTGGAATATTTTGCGAAGTGCGAATGAATGTGTAGAAATGAGAAAATTTATTTGTGTTATGTAAATCACACCCTCGTGTGATTTGATTTGTTGACCTCTTGCGATGATTTCAAATAATCGGAAATTCTTTGATAAAACGTGTTTAACGTTTTTATAGAATTAGAATATTTGTTAGAATTTGTGTATAACGGAAATAATTTGTAGCGATAAAACGATGAGTCAGAAGGGTTAAGAGAATTGATATCGCATAGTTTGCAATTCAAATCGAAAAGGTGCGCCAAGGGAAATCGAAAGAGCCATCAGCGTTAAAATTAATTGAAAAATAACACAAGAGCCGCGAATTTCGAACGAACGCAGCGAAAACGAGACTTTCCGCAAACTTTTCCCGGTGAAAAATAAAAAGAAAAGCCTGGATTCGCGAGCCAGCATATCATCCGTTTTATTTTGCGTTCGTGCCAGTTAATCCTGGATTTGCCGCACGAAGGCGTCGCCATCTGGGCCCGTGTGTGACCCCGTTTCTAACGAAAAAACCAAGAGCTTTTAAAAAGGTCTCCACTAAATCCCACCTGAACTATTCCCAACATTGTCGCAATCTTTTGCTTCGTTCCTGAAGGCTGTACGATTATTTGTATCTCGATGATTATTCCAAATTTTAGGTGTGTTCACTTTTGCAATTGGAAATGATTTTTGTCACAGCGACTGTTATGGTGAGGATTGGTTTAGTTTTTGAAGATTGGAAATTGGGAATTGGGAATTTTAGAGGTGGGGTGATTTTGAGATTTTGGGGTGACTTTTGGGTTTTCAAGGTTTGAAATTGATTAATAAGTGGATTCCTGTGTTACAAATTCTCAAGTTTTCAAATTCCTACATTCCCCAATTTTCACACCCCCAAATTCTCGAGTTTCCAAATCTCTACATTCCCCAATTCCCACACCCCCAAATTCTCAAGTTTCCAAATCCCTACATTCTCCAATTCCCACGCCCCTAAATTTCTAAATTTCCAAATCCCTACATTCCCCAATTCCCAACCCCCAAATTCCCAAATTTCCAAATCCCTACATTCCCCAATTCCCACGCCCCCAAATTTCTAAATTTCCAAATCCCTACACTCCCCAATTCCCACGCTTTCAAATTTCCAAATTTCCAAATCCCTACATTCCCCAATTCCCACGCCCCCGAATTTCTAAATTTCCAAATCCCTACATCCCCCAATTCCCACGCCCCCAAATTTCTAAATTTCCAAATCCCTACATTCCCCAATTCCCACGCCCCCAAATTTCTAAATTTCCAAATCCCTACATCCTCCAATTCCCACGCTCCCAAATTTCTAAATTTCCAGATTCCTACATTCCCCAATTCCCACGCCCCCAAATTTCTAAATTTCCAAATCCCTCCACGCCCCCAAATTCTCAAATTTCCAAATCCCTACATCCCCCAATTCTCAAACCCCCAAATTCCCAAATTTCCAAATCCCTACATTCCCCAATTCCCACGCCCCCAAATTTCTAAATTTCCAAATCCCCACATCCCCCAATTCCCACGCCCCCAAATTCTCAAATTTCCAAATCCCTACATCCCCCAATTCTCAAACCCCCAAATTCCCAAATTTCCAAATCCCTACATTCCCTATCTCTCACACCCCCAAATTTGTCAACTCTCAAATTTACCAACCCCCAAATTTCCCCACCTCCAACTCTCCACCTCCCAACTTCAAAAATTCCAAACCCCCAATTTTCAAATTTCCAACTTTCAAAACTTCCAGTCGCTCAACTACAAATTATATCTAGTCGTCCCTTTGAGCAACTCCTCGAATATCAATACCTGCGATCAACAAGAAACAGATTAAAACGTTCCGATAAAAAAGCGTTTCATCGATGCCGTCTGAACAAAACTGTTGTTATTTCTCGACTGAATTACACTGTGTACGTTGATAAATATTAACGGACCCTTAACACGGAACATCGATAACATTTCTATTCTACAAAGCCACCCAGTGACATATAAACGATAAAACAGAAAATGAAAGAAAAAAAAATTTACGCTGGTATTTATTCCTCGGAAGGTTTCGTGTTAAGGGTTGCATGAAAATGGCGCTGATATTAGGTGCTGTAAATAGTATGTTCATCTTTGTAGTACTGTTTCGAATTAAATCGAAGCCTCGATCGAAGAATGACGATATTCTTGGTACGAGTAATAAATGAATTTCTTTGTTGCTTACCGACTAAGAGCCATTTTTTATTTCAACCCTTTCAAAATCTTTTCATACTTCACTCCTTTATTTTTCTTTTTTATTTATTTGTTTTTTGGAGACACGATGGAGAAGATGGGGAAGATTCATAGCGGAGATGGAGGCAAGTATTTTTTATAATTCATTATTTTATTGTTATTGGCATTTGTGATTTTACAGAATTGTGAATTTTAGTTTTATAAAATTAGGAATTGTGGTATTTCAAAATTATGAAGTTGCAAGGTAGCAAAGTTACAAAGTTGCAGAGTTACAAAATTACAAAGTTGCACATTTGCAAAATTACAGAGTTACAGAGTTGCAAAGTTATCAAGTTGCAAAGTTGCAGAGTTACCAAATTGCAAAGTTGCACACTTGCAAAATTACAAAGTTACAGAGTTGCAAATTTATCAAGTTGCAAAGTTGCAAAATTATAAAGTTGCAAAGTTACAAAATTACAAAGTTGCACACTTGCAAAATTACAAAGTTACAGAGTTGCAAAGTTATAAAGCTGCAAAGTTATCAAGTTGCAAAGTTACAAAATTGCAAAATTACAAAATTACAAAATTAAAAATTGTAAAATTCCAAATTCACAAAATTAAAAATTGCAAACAAAATATTACAGTAAAATTCGAGTCACCTGACAAAAAACTAAACTTTGAACTATTCCACTTGCAATATTGCAAAACTACATTTTACCCTCTAACAGTAAAAACTTCCCCAACTAAAAATTGTAGAAACACCTCTCAAAACTGCTTCCAAAAAACATCTCTCCAAGCTAAATATCTCTCCAAGAATATAAGAATCCTTTTATATTCTGCAAGTAAAAATCCTCTTCTCTCCCCGATCGATAAACTTGTTAAATTATCGGTGGACGTAAAAAGGAAGAATTATCTCGTATTCCAGCAAAAAGGGTAAGATAGCGTTTAAACAAGCGAAGAGCTCGTACGGAATCTCGTTTGAGGGTAAAAACGAGCGATCGAACGAGCCAATCCAACGTCATATTCGACGAACGAGGGGGTTGGAAACCGGCCGTGACCACGGTGATTTAAAATCAATTTGCTAGCCACGTGTTTACGGTAATGGCCGTGCTTGTAACGACCGTGGTTCAATGCGGATTTCAACGGTGCACCGTTACGATCTCAGCCGTTTCAATCTCGCGGGAAAGCCTCTTTTCCATTCGAAACAATTTCCACCTCGTCTTTTTACGCCTATTTACTCTGGGTTGTTATAGTGGGTTACGGGGTTGGAAATTTAACAATTTGGGGGTGCTTATTTAGGATTTGGGTAATTTGGGATTTGGGAAATTTGGAGATTTGGGAGATTTAGGGAATTATGGAGATTTGAGGATTTGGGAAATTTGAGGACTTGGGAGATTTAGGGAATTATGGAGATTTGAGGATTTGGGGGATTTGGGAAATTTGGGGATTTGGGAGATTTGGGAGATTTGGGGAAATTTGGGGATTTGGGAAATTTAGGGAATTATGGAGATTCGAGGATTTGGGAGATTTGGGGATTTGAGAAATTTGGAGATTTGGAAGATTTAGGGAATTATGGAGATTTGAGGATTTGGGAAATTTGAGGATTTGGGAGATTTGGGGATTTGGGGATTTGGGGATTTGAGAAATTTGGGGATTTGGGAAATTTAGGGAATTATGGAGATTCGAGGATTTGGGAGATTTAGGAAATTATGGAGATTTGAGGATTTGGGAAATTTGGGGATTTGGGAGATTTGGGGATTTGAGAAATTTGGGGATTTGAGAAATTTGAGGATTTGGGAGATTTAGGGAATTATGGAGATTTGAGGATTTGGGAGATTTGGGAATTTAGGAAATTTGGGGATTTGGGAGATTTAAGGGTTTGGGTGATTTGAGAGATTTGAGAATTTGGGTAATTTGGGGATTTTGAAGTATTGGAGTTTGAGAATTGGGAAGTTAGAGATTTAAGAAATTTAAGAAGTTGGGGATTTAGAAATTTGGGGGCTTGGGAATTTGGGGATTTGAGAATTTGGGAAGTTAGGGATTTCAAGAATTTGAGAAGTTGGTAATTTAAAAATTTGGGGGCTTGGGAATTTGGGGATCTAACAAATTTGAGGCTTTGAGAATTTGGAAATTTTGGAATTTCAGTAACGTGAGAACTTAGGAATTTATAGAGTTTAGCATAAAAACACCCCTTGAAGCATTCAATTTCCCCAGCCTCCTTCCAGCACAGGGGGATGAACGCTCCAGAATTGATCGATCGACCTACCTAACATTCCACAAGACATAACTACAGTCCCCAACTATAATTATCCTTCACTGCATCGATAGAAATTCACATCTACTCAAAATTATCCTTAGCCTTTGATTTGTTCGACCCAGACGCCTCGTGTCAAGGAAACAGTACGAAAAACATAGGAGCAGAGTTTTGTAGAGGCTGATATTAATGGGGTGCGTTCGTTTGATGGATACACCAATCTGGATGTCCGAATAGCGAGGATTTTATTTCGTTCTCGAACTGAAACTCCACGGGGATTCGAGACTCGTGAATTTGAGAGATGATTATTTCTCCCTTGCGTGATTTACGAATTTGTTTAACGCGATCGATGCTTCGAGTCTGGAGGTTCTAGGATGCTTCTGGGAAAACTTACCGTTTGCAACTTTGCAGATATCTCATAGCGATGCTGAAATTTATTTGAATATTTATTGTTGTGATATGTGAAATGATGTTTAAAATTGGTGATCTTGTTTGCTGTTGTAGATGTCTGTATCAATTCAATAAATTTTTGTGAATATTTACTTTCAAGTTACTTTAACATTTTGAGGAACATTTATTACTGCAATATAACAAATGATGTGTATATTCAATAATCTTATTTGCTGTTGTAGATGTATGTATTAATTCAATAAATTTTTGTGAACATTTACTTTCAAGTTACTTTAACATTTTGAGTAACATTCATTACTGCAATATATCAAATGATGTTTATATTCAATAATCTTATTTGCTGTTGTAGATGTATGTATTAATTCAATAAATTTTTGTGAACATTTACTTTCAAGTTACTTTAACATTTTGAGGAACATTTATTATAGCAATACATTAAATGATGTTTATTTTCAATAATCTTATTTGCTGTTGTAGATGTTTATATCAATGCAATAAATTTTTATGAACATTTACTTTCAAGTTACTTTAACATTTTGAGTAACATTCATTACTGCAATATATTAAATCACGATGTATAAGATGAATAATTTTATTTGCTATTAAACACGTTCATATCAGTGCTAAAAATATTTATGAACGTTTACTTTGAGTAATATTTATCATAGTAAAATAATAAATATTTGAGATGATGTTTAAGATCAAATTACTAAAATGCATCACTCAATTACTACACCTGTACACAGCAATTTTATGAAGTTATTAAATTAGGGGGATAAGGGTAGTTTTAACAATCGCATCTATCTTCAAGAATTACATAGTGCAGCTAATATAACAAGTCAAGGTAACAGCTTCAAGGTACCAATTACTAAAAACGTACTTCACAATCCATCTTAACATTGCTGCTGATTAACCCTCTTGTCCCATCGATCCACCGCTACATTGTACCCTCAACAGCTCTATTGTCAAATGTAATGAAATTCTTACGACAAATGTGAATTGTTTCTTTC